ATGCTATTAACATACACATTTTTTAATACCAACATGTTGATTAACACATTATATATCATTATACTATTATATAATATGATTGTAATATATTAGAATATATATCTATTAACAAAATATTTATTTAGGTTTTCAGCCCGTTTAATTACTTGTACTAATTCTATAATTGATTCTATAGGTATTAAATGATATGTATTTGTAAACTGTAATAATAGACATTCATATTTGTATAAATGATTTTTATATCAAAAATCATACCATTGTATAAGTGTAAGATCAAAAAATGAATAATTTTCGATATTAATATTAAATAGCATAAGAATCTTATCAAAACACATACCATTATATGTATTATAATCTTCAGATTCTTCATCATTCATACTAATTAACACATCACTGAATGATGATTCATTATAATATAAGCTTTTTTCCTAATATAATCACCACTCAACATGATATTAGCATAACTATACTAGTTAATTTTAGCATTTTTTATATCTATCGTTTCAGTCAATCCATCACACAAATCAAGGAATTCATTTAATGTCAAAAAACTTATCTAGAGCTGTTAAAGCTTCTTGAGCCAATGTATTCTTTAATTGGTAATTGTTGAAAAACTCATCAAAATCTTTTAAAGAAAATATACATAACAAGTCATTCATCAGAGTTTTCTGTTTATGCTTAGTAGTAGGATTATATTAACGTAAGTATCTAACCATTGATTTTCGATAAACCTATAATGGAACAAGTATAATTAATAATTTATAATGATTTTATATTAAAAAAATATATTAAATAATATTATAATAGTACCAACCATTCTAATCATTTGATCTGTTGCTTTTCGCTTATTACTGGATCTATAAGGTTTTTTAATAGCATCTTTATATAAAGATTCAAATGTTTCTGTTGTAAAACCGTTAATTGCATCATGTTCTTTAATCATTGTAATAATATGGTAATACCAATTATGTAGTTTCAGTAATCTAAGATTTGATGGTGAATATTTCTTAAAGAGTTTTACATAATGTGTTGCCCATTGCATAATTAAATCCTATAAACAAATGAAATATATGTTAATTGTTAAATTTGATGTATATAAATATAAATATTAGTAATATACCTTAAACTCATCTAGTTCTGATTCTAAAAAAATACTCTCATCTACTATATAAATACATTTTATTCCAATGATAATATATATTAACCAATGCATTATCAATTTATTTAGCATATTTTGTTTCGATTGATTCTTTATGATGTTTTACAATTATTCCCTCAATAACAAAATGAAATACTTTCATCATATTCTGAAACTCATCAGCTATGAATCACTTAATATTTTCTAAACCATTTTTAAATATCTTAAGACCAGGAAATCTTGGAATCTTGGCTAAGCGATTGTCAAATTCATCAATCGCTATTTGATTGCATAATTCTTTTAGCATATTTCTTGTATAGGTCACTTGGTAAATAAATAGTCCTAAGTCAAAATGATGCATTCAGTTAGATACTATTGTGTTATATATATTCAAATAACTAATATTATTATTGATTAAAAATGTAATAATTATTAAAATTAATTAAACACACGTTTACAATTACACAATTATAAAATATACTTACGGGTATTTCCAAAAATATTCTCCATATCATGCAGAGAATATTGTTGTGCTATACCTTGTTCAATGTCATTTTTCATATTCTCAAGTGTTCTTAAAATAATTTGTTCTAGTTTTACATTACATAATTCATTAACCTCTACCAAACATTTGTGACAGGGATGATTACAATTGACAGAATTAAATGTTAAAGTTAGTGCAGCATTTTCTGGAAGGTCTCCTAATATTACAGAAATAAATGGATAACGCCATAGTTTATTATCAACTGTTATAAGATCAAATCCAGTATTTTTATAGTCAAGTAATAGTCGTATTAATATATCTAAAACATATTGATAAAGAGATAGTTTGGCTAATTGAAAACTCTTCAATCTCTTTTGAGAAATAGTATTTGCTTTTAAAATTGAAAGATAACCCAAGAGAATTTTTGCATCGGGTTTATTTCTACGTTAACTAGCAATATTACCTAATATTAAATAGTTTGGATGTTCACTAGTTTTACCTAGATGATCACATGTTGTCGCATTAGAATATAGAATTATAGATAAAATTTTCACTCTATCAGAAAGCTATTCTTGGACTCTTTCCCACCATTTTCCATTATATTGTTTGTTTTACACTCTTTGATTTCATGATATGATGGCGTAAATTCAAAAATGCAATTTTCGAGTATATTCCTATTACTTAATAATTCCTTTATAACATCAAAAATCATACGATGATGAAGATAATATATTTCTCTATTATAAGTCATAATAGGAACTTTTAAAGTATATATGTAGTATAATGATTTGATCTAATAATTGACAGCCTTGTTTTGATGAAACAGGTAAAATTATATTATCATAGGCAATCTTTCGTGAAAATTTAAGTATATCATTACTGCATGCATCTGATAAGTTTCATTTAATAAGCAACTCTATAAATTCACCAAAGTCTTCATTTGAAAATTCTGGCTTGTTTTTTATTAAACTTCTAATATCAAGAGATTCAAAAATTAGAATTGTTTCAACATTGATACGTAAATGTTCGAAATCATCATTTTCCAATTTATCATTATTATTAATCACTTCCTATATATAGATATCAATATGCCATATATAAATATTAATAGAAGTATTGGTATTTAAAAATAGTATAAATCGACTTTTTAACTCATCTGATGATCACCTATTTCATCCACTACTTCCTTCTCTTCCATTTCATCCAATCTTTTTATTTCTTCCTCCTCTTCTATTATAATATTTTTCACTTCTTTTATTTCATTTATTATAATATTTTCTTCTCCTATAGCCACTCACTTCTGATGGATTATTGTCACTTATTTCTGATAGGTCATTATCACTTACTTCTGGTAGTTCATCAATGTCTATATCCATTTCTTCTAATTGTTCATCACAAGTAACCATCACTTCCAATTCTTCTTTTACTTTATAAATTTTTGTAAAATTCTATTGATATCTTTATGAGTCCAGTAGGGCAAAAATGGGGTTTCTGGGACAGATTTCAAAATAGTATTCAGAAAAGATTCCTGACCACCCATGAACCCATTTTAGCAATATGAATCAATTATCAAATTCAAACTTCTAGCGCATTTTGACTAAATTCTAGATGATGTTATCGAACTTGACTAGGAATTAGCCTGTCTGATACCAAGAATTACAATGTTTGATTTAACCA